CTCTCCCGAGGCAGTAATCGAAGTCCCTGCTGTTTCCTAGTGATGTGTCTGTACCTGCACAGTAACCGTAAAATGTCTGATTCTTCTTCACTCTTCACTCTCCTAACGAAGACTATTTGACTGGTCACATGTTTCTGCCTCAGCCTGAGGAGCTTGGATCTTTCTTCCCCAGTGGTGGAGCACACTGAAAGTAGGACATTTAAGACATCCCAAAAAAAAGGCTAAGCTAATGTCACAATTCATTTTTCAAGATGGAGCTAATGTCTGAGTTTATGACATTACAAAGTTGTTACAACACAGATAAGGTGGCGCAGTGCATCATATCTAGAATTCTGACTTTTATTTTTCTATGTACGATAGTCAGAGAGTGAACTCTAGCAAAGAGCATGCTAACGCTAACAACTGTTGCTCTGTTACCCAGGGAGAAGCACTGACATTGATGCCTGACTGTGAAATAGAAAATAATGTATTGAGAAGTCCATGTGGGCAGCAGCCGACATGAATACTGAGCAGCACGGAGAGAAGAGACCTCAGAGAGAATGAGAGGTTTTAATTTACTGTACGTGTGTGAACTTGTCTTGGCTAATTATGTTCATCCCAGCAGAGTTAATTTACTAACACACTGGCTGCTGTGGTTTGTTTGCCTGATATTCTCATTTAAATGATAAGAATGTGCCACACGTAGACACGGGCAGAGTGGGAGGTCTGTTTGGCCTGGAGGGGGGTTCAAGACGGGGGGCTGGGGGGGGACTAGTGTCCAGTGCACTTAATGAACACACGCGGGCACTGAATGAAACATGAGTAAATACGCTGGCTGTTTGGCACAGCTCTGACTGGTCTAGACTCACATGTGGTCCAGTGGGAGGCGTAAACATGGAAGTTTCTTGGTTAATAAAATAAGAGGTGTTGTAGCTACATAGACTGAGGAATAGATCTACAGGGCTTAACCTGGCCTTGATGAATCTGATTAAAAGAATGTTGCTTTAGGACACGATTTAAACATTTTTTTTTCAGTTGATCATTCAGATTGTGTTTATTTAAAAAAAGTTTTAGGATGTGTTTTTGTTTTTTTAATTTCTTCTCCTCTTGACAGGAGCACAACCACAGTACACAGCAAGAAAATAAACATCGGGCATGCTGCCCCCATAAATTCTTTAAGGCATTGTTTCCCAAAGACTGGGTCACGACCCTCAGGTGGGTTCGCAAGAGGATTGTTTCCCAAAGACTGGGTCACGACCAGTTTTCACTTTTTTCGGTCGTCTCGCATCATGTTTCCGTTTCCCTGGAGTTTACGAATAATGTCTATTTACTTTTAAAATATGGGTCCCCAGAAAAAAAAAGTTTGGGAAACACTGCCTTTAAGGTGGCATGTAAATATATATATATATATCCTTCTTCATCTGCCTCCTTCCTCTGATTCATTTTATTTAGTTCACTAAAGTTTTCAGATATGGATTTGTATCTTTGCAGATGTCTAGAGAGTATTTAAGTCTAAATATGAGAAAACATTTTGTGCATGTATAAAATCAAAGGAGCCACAAAGGGAAACAGCTAAAATACATTTCTCCCATTAATATTTGCTTTTAGTTTCAACACCGTGGTGAAATGACTCTTATTTAAAACAACAGATAAACTTACATAAAGTTGAATGAAATGATTAAACAAAGACTTTTGATGTATTTATATTATTGCAGATTCATAAAGTAGTCTTCTCACATCCACATATGTTCTTGCTGCTCCAGAGAGGGCGCCGGTATAACTAATAGAGATAAATAACGATGGCTGCATTCCATTTAGCTGCCAGGGAGTAATAAAAGTGGGTCGCCACTCATTAGCATACCCCTGGATTCGGAGCAGGTAGGCAGAATGAAGTCAGATTTTTAAGTTAAGCTTTTTCAGCTAAATGTTAGCCATGAGGAAAAGCTCAGTGAGCTTTAGCCATCACGGTTAAAGCTCACTGTGACTGTTAGCGTGACACAGAAAAGATTTTAGCCCAGAGACAAGTGACAGGCTAATCTGACTTTGGTTTAAGTTATAGCGCAACACATAAATCTCTCTTCTTCTAATGAGCTGTCAGCTGAGCCAATGTCTCGCGGCCACCCACTGCCACACAAACATATAAATATCCACCCAGGGATTATAATGTTTTTTTTTTGTTTGTTTGTTTTTAAGAGCAGTGAACAAATCTTCCTCTGAACACCTTTAAATTCACTTAATTCTCACGACCTTTGTAAAAGAAGCGGTGGCTGAGACAACGGTCTACTCTGTCCTCAGATATTTTTAGCGGAGAGTGGAAGAATAAGGACATTTAATGATTTCATTTGTGAAGCACTGCAGACACCCCAGGCAAAAGCCGTGGTACTTTTATATAATCCTCCAAAGTGGATCAGTTTTGTTTTGAAGTGAGCTACTGGGTACATCACAGCGCTGGTCTTTTGATTTCGGAGAGGATGCTGTGAGCAAAGTGTCAAGGACGGTCTAAATCTGGGTTTGAGAATTTGTAGAGCTACGTATCATCTCGGTACAAGACAGGGCCTCTTTTATCGGTTCTCTGAGCCTCAGCATGAAGCTGGCTGATTTAATTTTGCAATCAATATGTTTTCTGTGACCATAAGCCATGGTAATCTTTTTATAGCTCCTCTTCTCCACCTCTCCCCTCTCATCTTTTGCCCTTGAATCAATCCTTCCACCCCACCACTGCAACACTGAGGCTGTGATTGCATCTAACGGGCTTCGTGGTTAGAGAAAGCACGGAGCGCCAGAGACAGAAGGAGAGGGAACAGAAAAATAATATTAAGAAAAATGAAGCAACGTCCCTGGAGTTCAAGTCGCACCAGGTCTGCGCTCTGAGGTTTAGTCCCCAAAGAGTGGATTATATGTGGCCCCCACGTGCCGCACTCCCACCATATTGTGGAGAAGCTCATAACATCTGACAGAGAATAAACCCCTGTGGTTTATGTCTGAACAGAATGGCTCTTTACACTGAAACTAGAAGTCGGCATAAAAAAAGACTGCTGTTCATTTTCACATTATTTACCTCTGTTTATGAGGATGCAGATGAACAGACCAAACCACATACAGTACAGTACATGAAGGAGTAAATGTGTGTGTTCTGGGGTCCTTTTTTCACTGGCAAATAAAGACCACAGAGAGAAAACATTTCAGTAGTGCAGGGAATGAGGTACAGTACTTAGATACTGTAGTTAAGTATCGTAAGTACTTATGTAAATACTTAAGTAAGTAAGTACTTACGATAGTGAAGTAACATGGGCACTTTACTATCATAAGTAACTAAGTAAGTACTTAATATTATGTATATTAAGTATTAAGTATCACACTTTTAGTTTTGTTCCAAGTTTAAATGTAATGATTTCCAGCTAAGGCCGTGTGAATCTGTTGATTACCAATGATACCAAACACAAGGTACATATGCAGGGGAGTATGTGGGCAGTGACGTTTGAAATGGACGTATCTATTTATGTAGAAGCCAGGAAAATAAATCAGACTGAATGTGTTCCGTTGGCTTTAATCACTGAAGTGTACGCAGGTCAACGCCACCTGCTGATCCTTCAATATAACTCACAGATTTCTTTTCCGTCATTATCCATAAACAGAAAAAGAAGTCTGCTTATCTTTCGCTACAGCTCTTTGTTTTTCCCTCATACTGGACGACAGCTGGTTTCTCTACTGGGCTGCCTGGCAACACACAAACACACCCACCCACTGTGTGACAGTGTTGACAGATACTGTAAAAACAGTGTCTCGCACAGTTTTAAAAATTAATGTTGGTGGAATAAATTACAACCATGCAAGGAACGTTTAAACTGTCAAATCATTTTCTTTAATATGAAACATGGTCTTAATAATTATGTGCAAGCAGTAAGTGTGGAAAAGTATTGAGATAGAAAAATGTGATATCAAACACACGGAAAATGGGAACAATCTCCCTGCCTATTAATGATTAAGGGAACCAGCAGCTGGGGAGGAAGTAGAACGTGAATAAATTGTTGATGTTTTAACTGATTTCAAACTTCTCACAAACTCGTAAATGGGGTTAAATTTATTTTTCATGCAGAAGGCACAGAAAATATTTTCACCTTGTTTACTGACCGACTTATTTTTGTTTGTTCAACCTGAACAAATATGGACTTTAACACACAGCTTGAAAAAAATGGAAGTTTTGTAACGAGCAGTTTGAGGTGCAGCATGTTTAGCATATGTGCGGGATAATTATTGGCCTAATAATATATGTTATATATAATATATTTTTGGTCAGCACCTAGTCGTCGTTTTTTCATCTCGACTCTTACCCATGAGACTTGAAGGACCTGCAGTAAGTGCTGCGTTCAAGTCGCGACAGTATAATTGGAAAACAACTTTCTGATTAGAAACAACTGCTAACTAGGGTTTTGGAGCAAAAGCTGTGGACGTGTTGACTTGTGGTGGTTTGATTATTGTCCTCTGTCCACAAGGTGGTGCTGAAGAAATAGTTTTGAAATGACTTGCAGCAAGAGGATTACCAATGAAGCTGCAGAGTTAGCATTATCTAGTTTGGTTAGAATGGTCTCCCTGTGTGTGCATGGGTTTTCCAGCTGAAGTGGTATAAGACAATTAGACAGTCAGGTGGAAATGTCAGTGTGAATGGTTGTCTCTACATGTGGCCCTGGGGTGGACACATGAACCCTCCAGGGTGTCACTGTCACACCGTCTTCCTCCCCTCCTCACCTCCTACCTTAGCCATCTGAGAGATCAGGTGACAGAGGATGAATGAATGTAGACAGTGCCATTTCACCTCACCCAAACATGTCAATTTGTTTTTATGTCACTAAACCTAAGTCTGTCAGGAACAAAACCTTAGCCCTAATGCTAACTGCTAACCTTATGAATGAATAGTTAAAAGATGTAGATATACTGTATTGTTTGTTTAATGTGTATAATGAGATTATTTAGATGAACTGCTCACACAAACTGCATTTTTATTCTTTTGGGGTTTTTTTCAGTGACAACAATTTCATCAAGGACTTTCCGCAGCTCGCCGATGGTCTTATGGTCATCCCTCTGCCGGTAGAAGAACAGTGTAGAGGGGTCTTGTCAGAGCCCCAGCCCAACCTGCAGCTCCTTACAGGTGAGTCTGTTCACAATCTGTCTGTGGATTTTTGATTAATTTCTATCAACATCATAGCCTTCATTACCAACAGGATGACCCATAATGCTTCTCTGTTGCTTTCCTTTGACATGTGAAATTTAAAGCCTTTTTAACTAAATGAGATTTTGCTCCATATCGACCCATGAGTTTATTTTTTATTTTTGAAAATGAGAATGGAAGTTTGAATTTATCTTTTTTTGACTTCCTCTCATCCATACAGAAACTGTATTTTTCACTGCTTGTGAATGAAAAAAAAAACTCCCAAAAAGTCCAGAATCACAGACTCCTTCAGCAGTTTTCTCTCCTTACATTCCACTTTTGTGGCTTTAGTTCTGAACTGTTGTGAAAGTTTGGTAATTGAATTGCAGAGAAAGGCAAGATTGCACTCACTTCTAATGTCAGCAATCCAATTGGAGTTAAAGCTGCACTATATATCTACCATCGATCCAGGAGCAGCTGGGATATGGGCTGTGATAATAAATGATGTTACAGCAGTAATGGATAACAGTTGGTCGGCAATAAACCACTCAAATGAAATGATGGATTTTATTCATCTTCTCATTTACTTTGAATTTTAGCAGGACTTTGCCGCCGCTCTGTGCTGTCTAATTTGTTTTGAATGGTTGTATTTGTTGACGTCTTTATATCTCATTTTGTCTTAAATTCCCATTTTGTTCACCCCCCCCCACCCTGTCCTCCTCAGGGGATGCCCAGTTTAATGAGGCAGTGGGCTACCCAATGGTCCAGCAGTGGAGAGTCCGCAGCAATCTGTATAAAGTCAAACTTAGCTCCATTACACTGTCCACAGGTCAGCACCACCATAACACAGCCGTTTATTTTTTTTACGTTTTTTTATGTCAAAATTACACATTTTGGATCATTTTCTTGTTCTGGTAGATTTTTCCAAAGTGCTGAAGACACTGTCAGCAGACAGCACAAGAGACGAGCTCCTGGTGTTTCTTCACAATTATGGCAGCCACTATATGTCAGAGGCTCTGTATGGTTCTGAGCTGAGTTGCAGCATCTACTTCCCCAGCAAGAAGGCCCAGCAGCAGCTCTGGCTGCAGTACCAGAAAGGTGAGTGCCAACAAACAAGAGGGGATGTCAAAAAACAAAAAAGGGGAAAAATGTTTAACAGTTTTGCTTTCAAAACTTGAGTGAAACTGTTATCTTCAACAGTGTTAATCAGTCTACAGCAGTGGTCACTAACCTTTTGGAAACTTGGAAATACAGTAGTAGACACTCTTTTTACCACTGTCATTGAACCCATTTGAATATAATTGCAATAACTGATTCAAAACGCACAGTAACAGTACAATGTGTGACCCTCTTGTTGACTAGTTTTATTTTTAGAACATACCTTGTGGCCACTTTAGGTTGTCCACAGGGGCTACCAGGAGCCCGCAACCCCCAATTTAGTGACTCCTGGTCTACAGTCTCCCCACAATCTGTTTCAATCAGCTGGTCACCTGTAGACTTACTTACTGTCCTCAGCTCTGATGCTGGTCTGAGCTGGAGTTGAAGCCTCTGCAACTGCGTTAGTCTTTTAGATGGTATTTAAAGCTTGAGATTCGCATGCCGTCATTTGCACACTTTTGTGCAAATGACAGCTTGCGTACAGACTCCACATTGTGAATGGAAAATTGGATAATTTGGAATATTTGGATATAGTCTCAAATATTTCACAAACACACCTTACTAGTTTTGAAATTCTTTTTATTGACCTCAGATTTAACAATTCAAACATATAGTGATTTCTGTAATGTGTTCAACACATTTTACAATTCACCGCCTTTAAAAAAATAAAACACTCAAAAAGGAACATGTACCCACCTGTATGTGTTTGTATGGATGTCAAATGGCTTTTCAATTAAGCAGATTTCTATACCCTTCAAACAGACCCTCTCTACTGACTGCACCTAAGGAAAGGACATTGATTTTACCAGTTCTTACAAACTCAAACATAGTGATGTCATAACAATGTCTGATGTTGATCACACCGACACAAGGACACTTGGATTTTTTCTATAGATCATATTATTATTATACATCACTATATATATCACTATATATGATGTATAGTGATTATACATCACTGCAATAATGTCTTTTATTCTCTAATAATGACTTATTCTAGGGACAAAATGGAAAAAAACAAAAAAACACAAGTCAAATAGTACAATGTCAAAGATGACTTGCATTCATCGCTGTCTCTCACCCTCTGTGGTCTTATCATGTAACAGGTCTAATGTAAAACAAGAGAAGCACCAGGAATTGACAAGAAGAGACTAAAATCTGAATTACATCCATTTCCATGTCATCTGAACAATTTTTCAATTACCGTTCACTTTTCTTAGCTCACTTTTTATATTGGACATAACATCAGATCATAACATCATTAATCAGGGCAACAGGTATATGCTAAAGTCAGCTGTTAGAAACTGTCAGCTTTAGTAAGGCCATATTTGAATTGGAGGTGTAGGAATACCTCAGCACGTGTATACTGTACTTGGTATTCCTGTATGTAGTCTAAATATCTAGGCCGTATTAAACACTTTAAATACCAGTATTGTAGCCTTAAACTTATTAGATTTGCATTTGTTTAGCAGTGAAGACATAAACCAATTTTAAGAGATAAGCTAGTGCAGATGCTAATAAAAACTAGCTTAAGCAGCACTAGCATTAACTACCGTATGGTTGTTGTCTTTACAATATCACAGCAGACTAGAGAATTGCGATTGCAAGTGTCTTCTGCTGAATGGTGACCTGAGGGAGACACGGCGACACAAAAATCGAACTCCCAGAGTTCTACAGCCATCTCTGCTGTGATGCTTGGTTTGTTTTCACAGCCCCTAGGAGACAGTGATATGGTAGAACTATCCAATAAATTATGGATTTTTTAAAAAAGTACGTTGGTAAACTATTTTTAAGTCGTCAAATTCTACACTACCCTGAAGTTTAATGCTGTTGTGGCCTTTGGAGTTTTTTGGTGCTGTTTGCATTGGCAGTGCAACAAAATGAATGTGAAGACAAGTGTATAATGAAGTTCAGCCCAGGTGAAATAGGACAAACACAGCCAAGGAGCTGTGCCCTGCATATTTTAGGGCACTGCAGGTTCCTGATGTCACATGGGAATCTTACTCGGTTATTAATGACAGTTACAGTGGAATACCCAGACAGCAATGCTGCAAAGTCTGTAGAGAATCTATTTAGTTCAAACTAGGTGGCGAGTTGGAAGAATACACCATCTCATAGCTACAGCCAGAAGACGGGATGAATAACTATGACACCCAAGGGAAATGTAGTGTTTACTTTGTCTTCCCGGTCATCGACAACACAAGGGAGGATGTGACTGGATGTAAACACAGAGTTAAATGAGAACACACTAACATTAACATCGTCAAGATTCACATTTAGTCTCCAGCAACCTGTTGTATAATTATTAGGGCTGTCAAATGAATGCCTTAACTCTTGATTGACTTACTGAGCTGATTAAAATTTTAGCACATTTTAAGGCATAAGCAGAATAATGTGCACTGTGCATCCACTTAACATTGATCTTATACACAGTCCATACACGTTGTTGAATAAAGGTTTTTGTTTCACCAATGCAACTTGAGCTTAAATATAACATCTCAAAACCCAGTGTGTTTATGGAGGCTTCAACTAGATGCTTGAATCAGACCAGGATGTGAGTTAGTCTACAGACAATATGCTGACTGAGACAGTGTGAGAATGCAGCCTGATCAATATTGTTGAGATCAACAGCATCACCAAAGTTTTGAAAGAAACTCTTGATACCTTCCAACAGCCACTGTCATGATGCAAAGTAAAGACTAATATCAACCAGCTCTCTATGAAGCAACATTTTGTCTAAATTCTGTTAATTTATCTCAATTGTGATTAATCAACAGCTTCCCTGTGATAAATAAAAATACATTTTACATTTTTGACAGCCTTAATAATTACTTAATATTAACTCTATGTATTCTAATAATACAGTAAATTATGTACTACTACTCAGCTTTGGTCAACTTTCCCTTACTCATAAACCCTTAAATAACCTTTAAGAAATTAGTGTTTGATAGTTTCTTGATGTAATATTGCCCAAACTATAGACCTGAATGTGTATGAATACTAGGTCCTCATTGTTTTCTAAAATGTATGTAACCAGTAACTTTAAAGCTGCCAGCTGCATTCAGTTACATTATTACTTGTGCTACATAACCCGAAGGAAACAGTGATTTGTCAGTAGTAAAGTGCTTTACAGGCTGATCGCCTTTGTACGTTTCATCACATGAACGTGTGTTTATGTTCAACTTCTCTTTCTGACATGTTTGCTGTTGTAAAGTGGAGTCAAATTTATAAGTCGGACTTAAGTGTTAAAACATCAGCTGAGAAAGGGGTCATCTTTAACTTGTACCTGCATTATTTTTACAAGAACTGCTTTATTTTAATGTAACAATAGTCACAATGAAGTGTTGTGATCCATTTACATAAATCTGACAAAAAGCAGCTCAAGTTTCTGATGTTCAGTTTGGAGGTATTATATTATGATCCAGTGGCCTTGAACTGAACCAAACCAACCGGGACATTTATTTATACTTAAAACTTGAATGTGTGCCAGAGTAAGAATAGACTGGACTGCGGCCTAACTGAAGAGACAGATAATAATTTTGGAACCTTTCCCTGACCAGTACACCCTTAACCCCACACACCTGTGATTTAACCTCTAAATGACCATGCATTGGTGCTGTCAGGCTGGAGTTTGTTTTTCTCTAAGAGGTGGAAGAGTGCCTCCTCTGAATATATGAGTAGACTTTTACACAGTGGTCCCAACAGTCCAGCACCAGCAGCTGTCCTTTCTGGGTGGTGGCCACTCCCACAGGACAGGTCAGCCCTTCCCGGATGAGAATTTTGAATCCACCCTCTTTGGGAAATTGAAGAATTTCTTTTCTGCCACTGTCCGTTACCAGCAAGTCCCCATTGGCATCCACACACATCCCAGTGATGCAGCGGAAGTCTTCTGATTCGGAGAAAAAATGACTGAGCTGCTTGCCCAGCTGCCCGTCAGTACCTACTGAACCAATAGAGAAGCCCCCCTCCAAGTGGGGCTCATTGTGACGTTTTTCAAAGTTCAGTGCTAGGCCCTGGGTGAAGTAAACTGTTCCAGCAGAATCACAAGTCACAAATTTGGGCCTCACAGCAGAGCACAGGCGATTGTAACTCACCACGCCAACATTGCGGTCCACTGCCAGGCACCACAGCTTGCCACCTTCCACATCTGACACTACAAACTGACCTGATGGCATGGCAGCAATGCCCCACGGTTTAATCAGTTGGTTCTTGTGGCAGGCCACACAGTGTCCATCCATGGTGTAGATTTTAACAGAGTTGTCGTAGTTATCAGTGATCCCAATCAGACCTTGAGGAGTTACAGCGATGGACAATGGGACCAGGTTCGGTAGGTCAGCCCCAAGAAAGCTGAGGACGAAGTTGTCAATGCTACTGGCATTGCGGCGGATTTCCCGTTGGAAACCTTTGCGGTTAAAAATCTGAACACGGTAGTTTCCACGATCCGCCACCAGCACTTCACCTTGCAGCGTCACACAGATGCTGACAGGTAAATTGAACATACCAGGTAACGTTCCTTTGGAGCCCATCTTCTTCACAAACAGGCAGGCTGGCAGCACTGCACTTGCTCCAGGTCTTCTAGGTGATCCTCCGCCTTCATCCATGGACTTTGACTTGAAGCTGCCTGGTGAACTAAACACTCCCTCCTCTACAACCATATCTGTATCTCGGTAAAGATCCTCTGAAGCTGTCGTCCCGCCAGTGGCACCTTCTTCTCCAGAATACCCGTCTGCAAAACCCTCAAGTGCGTTTTCCAGCCTACTCCCTTCATCTTCTATATTGACTGTGTTAGTGTTTGTGTTCAACTGGCCTATTTGTAAAGGTGTGGAATGATCTGCTTGGACCAGCTGTGGCTCTTGCAGTTGAAACATGGTGGGCAGGCTGCTGTTTAGGTCCAATTCCTCATCATCACTTTCTCCACCATCATCCTTAAGTAAGGCAATGTCACTCTGCCTCACTCGTATCGTAAGATAATCACATCGTGACACTACTTTGACCTCAGCAATGTTGAGAAGATAAGTCTGCTCTTCCAACACCTGTCCATTGTGTTTCTCAACTTCTGTCATGGAGGCATTAAACGTTCTTCTAGACCTGCTGAGCTCCTCATGGAGATGTTGCTCCACTGTGGTGTAGTCCTGCTGCACTGAACGATACTTTAATCTCAAAGCCTTGGAAATGTTTTCAATTGCTGTCTTTTTCTTTTGAATTTCACCCATGATGTTACGTAAAGCAGACAGCCTGTCACCTAGTTCTTTACGACGCTGATCTGCAGCATCCCTGATTGGTTGAACTGTATGGCCTTGATGCTGGTGGCCCTCCCCTTTACAACACTCACAAAGAACCGTGGCACATTCATGGCAGTACTGTCGTGGTAAACGGTTGCAACAAGACTTGCACATTAGCGCAGCAGCGGTGGCACTGCACGATAAAGTACAGTCAAGTATCTTCAGCACAGTCAGATTATCGGCCAGCTGCGAGATGCTGCTCATGCGCGACACCTTGCTGCAGAAAGGGCAGCGAACACCATTGATTGTATTTGCCAAGAGCTTCTCTAGACACTGCCGACACACTGTATGACCACACTGCAGGAGTTTAGGTCTCATCAGTTCCTGGTTGTAGGTCTCCAGACAGATAGGACATTCAAGTATCTCTCTCATTAGATCTGGGTCCAGTTGAGGACCTGGTGATGCCATTTTGCTTCTGTGAAAACATTAAAATAAACATTTCAGAGTTTCTGCTAGTTACATTAATCATTGCTGTCATTGCTTCAAAATAAGGCAATAATGTTATATTATTCATCTGGGGTAGGGATAATAGTTTGATGTAATTGTACTGTAATACATTAGCAATGCAAATTGATTATAAATGTAGTATGCATGTAATTTTATGCAGTAAATATTTGAGTAATGTACCAGTATGTTAGCCACACATAGCATCCATACTAGCTAATATTTATTTTGTACTTCTGTTAGCCTACTGTCAATGGCCCACGGTTGTTTATGGTCAGAGTATCAGTCTCAAACAGAAGCATAACACACTCAAACCCAAAATCACTTTGCTTACAATTCTGCAACTGACTGGCTAAATTACATGAAAAGAAATTTCTCGAAATAATGATTGAAATGTTTATATGTGCATGTGCCATACAGTAACTCAATACATTTTATTTGTTTTATTGTGGAGAAGGATATGTTGTTCATAGAGTGCATTCGATTTCAGTTTCTAAATGAATACAGTGTTCTTAAGTATAGACTCACAAAAAACAAAGACTGGCCTGCAGTTTAGTTTGTGCAGCTGTGGATATATTTATTAAGTATTCTGATGTAAAGTACAAATAAGTGCAGTAGTCGTTATAAAAACACACAAGGAAGGTGACTTTGACGTTGACAACATTTGGACATTTTTGAATCCCCCTTAACGTCGCAGTGTTATGCTAAGTATTGCTAACAGTTATTAATAACATCGCCCGTTTTTATAGAAACGACAGCAGAATTCTGAACTAATGTAAACTTTAAAATTGAGATTAGGCTTTTTGACGCATCCATGTTTTTACTAAATACAACTCGGTTGGCGTGTTAACTGACACCAGCATCAAAGGCGGTGCTAATGACAATGTGATGCACAAGCTAACATCGCTAACACCGCACTACAACAGGATAATAAACGCACGTTAGGACCGGTTGTGTTCATTTTTTGTAAATTCTTCCCTGGAACATCTGAGGCCTCATCCCACAAAACGTTAACACTTCTCTTTAAATATTGAATCGATTAAAAAAAACCATGACAGCTTGTTATCCCGACACAGCCTCTTACCAATGTATTTATATATTTTTTTTTTTTTTCATTCAACGAAAAGTTACCTTTTGTTCTGTGACGGTTGATTTGAAGTAAGGATGTATTTATTGGACGTGCTCTGTTTGCTGCTGCAGCTGCCAGTGCGAGAGACTGCAGTGATGGCTACGTCACCTACGTCAGGCAGCCGGGATGTTACGTAATACGCATAGACTCACGGAAGTACTTTTATTGTCCTGACATACGCATAGACTCACGGAAGTACTTTTAATGTCCTGACAATTTGGCAGCCCGTTTACGCCAACGTAACGTTATTAATAATAGAAAAAGAAAAGAAAAAAATCGATGTTTGATCCAACTGTGATTCTAAAAAACGTTTACAAAATATACTAAAATACATACTGTCTTATTGTTAGAAATCTTCTCAAATGATTGCCATAAAGTCCCATAATATTGAGATACAAAGACAAACAAAGAAAACTGTAAAAAAAAAAGACGCTATCATATAATCTGTAAATTAGTCATTCATACTTTGACTATGACACTATCTAAGTAAGAAAATATATAATTATATTCAAATAGAAAAACAGTGTTATAAGGACATTTCCTACCTACAATAAACATCATAATAAGTTAATCTGCGTTAAATGTACTTGTAAGTAAAAGTTTGAATTTACTTCCCACACTGTAGGGGAGTGGGCAGCACAGTTTATAATGGAGACTGGACTACTGTCTAATTCCTACATACAGCGATAAACACCTTTAAAAAAAATCCCTTTCGTTTTTATTTGTATTCTTGTCATGGCCGGTCATCTGTTATGTGGTAGTGTTTTCTAGTGTTGTGCAAACTAAAACGTTTCTAACTTAGCTTGTTTTAACCTGAATATTTTTCTTAATTGAGCTGCGTATATTCGAATATCTTGCATTAATTTACACTGTCACTTCCAATAATTTGAGGGATATTCAATTTATACATTTGTTTTGAAAATTGAAATATATGCCTATTTGAGACGTCTAGTAATTTCATAGATAGGCCACTAGATGTCAGAATACGACAATTCTAGTAGACGACTAGTACAGACATCTCAGATATCTGTACTATCTGTTTTCTGTCCGTACAGTACATAAGCTGCAGTGGTGTTTTAGTTTAGTTTTTGTTTGTTTTTTTTGCTTTTCTATACTCCCCTTCTTGTTCCTTTGTTTTAAAACAAGTCAAATTATCTGATAAAATTTACTTTTTGTATACTTTGCTATGTTAAACATTGTCTTACATTCAATGTGTGTATTTATTTTTAGCTATAAGGCTGTAAAATATTTAGTACCTTAGTTTAGATATAACAAGTATTTGTAAAAAATAGGAAAGCCATGGTACATCTAGCACATGCTGCTGTTTCCGTAAAGCAAAATCAACAATGCCAACAGCAACCATATCCAACAGCATCGGTGTGAAATTGCTATGGAAGGTATGTAACACCTTGTTGTTGTTGCCCAGGCAACATAATCTCGGTCAGAGTGGACTTCTCCCCGATGAGTAATTATACTGCAACCAGTCTACAAAGACATTTTAATTAACAAGGGCGGGGTGAGATCAATGGCAAAGGAAATACACTCCATTCATCTTTTATCCAGTGTCTGATGACAGACAAGTGTTGCATAAACATTACATTCATACCAGACAGCAAAGAGCTGTGGTGGTTTATAAAGAAAGAAAATGACAGGCCCCTCCTTTAACCAACCACAAATGCATGTGGTCCAGTTTAATGTGTCCTTGTGAAGGGTGTTGATCAGATTTGAATGAAACTGAATGTTGCTTAAACACAGAGAGACAAACACAGCATGTTTCTGAGTGACCTCAGATTCTCAAAGTAATAAACAAAGGTAATGAATTAGGAGACGGTTGTATATACAAGGATCATGATAAAGCCAATGATTGTTTCTATTGTTTTTTTCTTTCTTTTCCTTTTCTGTACTTTACTAAACAACACATTGAACTAGTTCATTGTAGTTAATAATGTGAATGTTAATGTTTTTGTTGTGACTCCAGATACAAGCAGAAATGCCACAGTGACTCGCACGGTCTTAGTGTTGAGAAAGTGACAGCAGCGTTTTTCTGGGTCTGTGTTGTTTCAAGACATGGATATAATTGGACTGTGGGGGCCACCCCTCCAGCCTGTTTACATACTGCTGAACATTAAGTTACCACCCACCCTTTCAACTACATGCTGGTGTCTCACAGACCTACACAGAGAACATGCCACCAGGACATCCATCACGACGTATTCAAGACTCAATTTCCCCACTCGCGTATAAACACGACAAAGTTCATAGCTGTAGTTGAGGACAGGGGTCATGTCTGTGTTTTGTTCTGAGGCCGTGTGAGTTACATCGACCCGATGTGCACTTTACATTTGTACACACTTCTCCACACTATCTCCAATATAGGATTTGTTAGATAAATATATTGACAACTTGTAGCCATGACTGTTTGGCTTTTATCTGTGCACTTTGCATAAAGTTTTGCCTTTTCAAAACATGTTTTTAATTAATAGAATGTCATTAAAATACAAACATACATATTTATATCCATGCTATTAATTGAGCTGTGATATTGATTGAGCTCAAGCCTACACACTTAACGTCTCACCTGTATTTCAATGATTTCCAGTTCATTGCATATTTTGTGAAACCGAACCTAAGGAAGTATCGGTACTGGAACTCGTTATCGGTCAGTAAAATACGCAGACAACACTAGTTGATATGCTTACAGCGGTATAGCTTTGCTTTTTTCTTAGTTGAGAGACTTTTAATGTTGTTTTTCGTATGTCACATAGCAAGTAATCTAATTATTAACTAGTAAATTAATTATTAACTCCGCTCCGCACACGTGTCGTATATTCTTGTAAAGACGACAGATTACAAACAGAGAACACTGCCAAACGCTGCCAAATCCACACATATGGAGTGTCTACGTCAGTGTGTCACGTGACCAATGTGAACTCCTGCTTCTGCCTCTTTGACTTCCTTCAGTGAGTTGGTCTGTCGTCTGAAAGGGGAAAAGATGAAAATAAATTCCCTCGAACTCCAGTGGGAGCATTAAACCGTGGTTAATTGACATAGGAGAAGAAGCCAGGGACACCCACTCCCCCCCTCCCCGTTGAGCCATCTATCCTTTGCCTGTGAAGTCGATGACAGTAAGGGATTAGTTGTTGTTTGTTTTTTCCACTCTTCTCCTTTGTAGCAAGTAAAACAAATCCAGATGCCGAGTCTGTCCACACTTGAGGGACCTGTGAAATTTCCTCGCTCCCTTAAACAAAGTCTCGTAATCTGTTTAATGAGCGGGGTTTCCCTAACAATTTAGGAAAATATTCTGCGTTTTAAACGTTTGTTAAAGTCGAAGGAAAAGCACATTTGGCGAAACATGTTTTGTTTTCACCCTTATTAAATTTTTTTTTTTTACTGTTTCATGGCTGCCCTTTCACAGAGGCAACGGAACAGGGAGTTGGACGGCGAGAACTGAAGTCGGTTCCATTCATCAGCTACCTCTCTGCACTGCAGAAAAGCCAGCTGCTTTCTGACGACATCGTGGACGGTGTGGAAATCCGCTGCGAGGAAAAAGGCAGTTGTCCAACAGGCTGCCACCTGTGCCATCACCAAGCCGTGACGGGTGGAGTGACGGGCAGAGGCCGCATGAGTAACAGCAGAAGCGGAGAGCAGCCCTCGCCCATACCTGTGCTGCTGGAAGTCAGCCGCGTGGTGCCGCTATACAGTCTGGTTCAGGACAATGTCACCAAAGAGGTGAAAAAGTTGCCTGAGTGTCTGTGTGTGTTTGACAACATTATATAAAACACTGATTAAAAATAAACTCTAGCGATATAAGTAGAAACACAAATGTTTGATGTTAAGATTGAATAACAAATCCATAAGGTTAAATTCATACCAAAAATATAAATTTAAAACATACCCAGAACAAAAATAGTTTAAGATTTAATTTAAATCTTAATGTACTTTCCATCCTACTCTTGGTGATGGAATGGCACTTTCTTCCCATTATTTCCCATGTTCATAGTCATTCACCTGATGCAGTTGTAAAACTTCACCTCAAGATGGCATCAGTTGGTTAACTGTGGCCGTTGGTAATGCACACTGTAATACAGAGGGCACAAAAAGGATGACATCATGGTTTTCGCTTGTGGGGAAATCAATGTGTGTGATGTATATACACATATATATGTGCGTGTGTGTGTGACAGTGTGTGTGCGTTTCTACACAAATGTTCACGGTCAAGTAATATCAGCCAAATGACCATTAGTTAATAAGTCAGTGGATCTACGTGCGCAAAATAAATGTAATATTAAATCATTTAGAAACGGTCCCTGGATTAATTTCACATTTAGTTGACCACATGTTCCTGTGTTGGGATTTCTGACGTGTCTTGACATTGACTCTCCTCCTCCTCCACCTCCTCCTTCACCTCCTCCTTCTAATCATGTATAAGATAAAACAGAACCGGTGACTCATACCATACACGTATGTATATACACACCATTGAAAGCAGACCTGTTCTTTCTAATACGCCCCTTCTAATTAAGCGTCATCTAATTGCTTTACCTTACTGCAGGCTACAGTGATAACTGAGAGGGGGAGGGCAAGTGTGTGTATGTGTGCAAAGCCTGCTCTATGTACCCATAACTAGTGCCACAGTGCCAAAGAAAAGAAGACACAATCAATAGCAGACGGTCCCTAGTGGGCCTCATCGATAGCTAAACGTGAGGAAGAGCAAAATGTCGCTTTTTCCTCTCTTTCAAAACACCTCTGTATCCATCGCTCTCGCTGCCTCCCCCTACCCAACCCATGGTCTTCTGGGGATGTGGGGAGTGAGATGTATGAGGAGGAGGAGAAGGGTTAGACTGCAGTGGATTGCTCCGGCATGCCCCTCTGAGGAAGCTCGAGGCAGGATTATTAGCTTCTTATTGATGTCATCGACCTTTGGAGAGGGCGGGGAGTCCATCACTCCACTCCTCTCTTTCTTCTTCTCCTGGCTGCAGCCACTTCGGCCATACTTTAAAAGGGACATACATACAGTATATCGCATTAGAGACGCACAACACAACACAACACAACACACTACATCGTGCATCTTTAAATGCAATCAATCATTTCTCTCTCCCCTTCTGTCACTCCTGCTTTCTTTGCGCATCTCCTCCTCCTTCTTCTTACTCCTCCTCCTTCTCCTCTTTTCCCCATTCATGGGCTTTTGTCCCCACACTCTTATTTAAAACTACATGGTCCATGGACATACATACATACCACATAATAACGTCTACCATGTTACAAAAAGCTTTCTCTCAAATGAGTTCCCTTTTGTTAACTAAAACTTGCTGATGCAATGAAAATAGAACAGACATATAATTGAAAAATCTCTTGATTAGTAAGGCTGAGGTCATACTTAAATGAATTTCTTTTTCCGAGTGCACGTGTGCGTGTGTGCCCCCACCACTGGTCTTTATATAGCTGTCACTCCTTTTTGGACCTTCACTCCCTTTTTAGGTACATGCATGTTTCAGTGGCCTCTCACTGACTTCCTGACTCTTTGATAGAATGTGTCATGTCCCCATCCTATCAATCTCCTCATTATTAGGCCTATGGTGGAGGGTTGGTATCATGTAAATCAAAGTTTTTTGCAGAAAGACCACATTACCAGGTCTGGAAAGGGTAAAGTAAATGGAAACTTAAATAAGTTGCAAAAAGCACTGAAAAGGAGCTCATGAAACAAACTAAATATTCTTATATTTAGTTAATTTACCTTGTTTTGGGAAAAAAAAAAATCTGCCAACGAGGTTGAAAAAGGTGAAAAGAAGACCCCCCCCCCCCCAAAAGCTCTAACAAGCATCGGAAGAAGATGGACAGTATGTCAGTCTATCATAGGTCCAACTTTGCATTGAAGATCAAGACAATCACAAAGATTTCTAATTTATCCATCAGTTGTTCATATAGTTTCACTAAAGTTGTCTACATTTAAGAAAAAAAGAGGTTTCAAGTTTTCCTTTTCCTTGTCCTGGTATTCACTGTTACTGTCTGCCATCCTGTTTGGCTAGTTTAAACCTGACGTTGGCCTGGTTTTGATCGAAACCAATGTTGGATTTTACCTACGCTCAACTGAGGTGGTCTTGCTGACAGGCCTTCTGTGCACGAAAAAACATGCACACTTACTTCCCTGTTTTAGTGCCAGAGAAAAATACCTTAGTGGATAAATAAATAAGCTAACGTCTGTGGACCCGGCCAGTGGTCCCATGTCCTGTGTTGCTGTGACTGAATTACGGCAAACCTTTTCAACAAATTGCTTATGAGTCTAATGGGTTTGAATGCTTTATATCTTGCCAAGCTGCCACCGTCATGCTCTCACGATAACGCAACACTGCAGTTATTTCCAGGGGTGTGGTCTAGAATACTTTTTTCCAAGGGGCTGGAGGTGCACAGAGCAGCATCTACAGAACAAACAAAGTGATTTGTTAATAGAAAGTGTTCAAAATGTCACTCAGACTATTGGATCAGAGAGTGAGATGATGCTTCCATGATCTCCATAAGTTGCATAACATTTTAATGACCACAAGCACCAAAAGGCAATAAAATAAAAAAAAATCATAGTAATTGTGGGTTAAAATTTAAACCTAATGGGGCAAGTTGTTAGCTTGTGCTTCCTGCCTCTAAACATGCTCAAAATATCACTACAAGTGCAAAGTTCCTGCATCAGTCGAGTTTAACAATGTTAGGCTTTGAGTGCTTTCATATCCATATTTTCAAAATCCTGTTTGAGAGAACTGTAGCAAGTATTTACAGGGAGGTCATTCATTTTTTATCTTTGCTAGAACAATTTAAGTTCATATGTTTACTCTATAGTGAAACACAAAACATAGTTTTGCTGTCTTGTTCCTAATGCTAGATCTTTTTTGTGTTGGCTATGTTGATAGTGACTTATGAATTGGTTTAGTAAGAAATATATTAAAAAAAAACAGCCGGCCTCTGGGGCCGATTGATTTCCTTTGAAAATGTCAGCTTATATTAGAATAACATTTCAGACAGAATTGGCTGCCCCCGACACAGTACCTGCTGGTTAAAGGTTTGTCGGTTACGTTGCAATCCCCCATCAACCTCTGAGTGAACCAACCCTACATCTGCCCCTAGTGTCCAATTTCCTGGAAGTACTACTTTTGATAAGGTTCCTAGGAGCAGCGTTGGTTAACGCCATTAGCCTTGAGTGATTGGAAGAGCCACATAAACGTAATCGTGCGTGCACGCACACACACTTAGGTCACCATTGATGGTGTCCTGTTTGTGCTGACTTAGACCCTTTTCAACCACTGGTGATCATTTTATAAATCAATACTGCAGGCCAGCTGGCCAGTGTTTTCATGTATTAGCCTCTGAAGACAGACAGTAATGTGGTCAGCTAAGACTAGACAAACAGATTAATGCATTCTAGAGGTCACGATGGCCTCCTTTGCCTTCTTGTAAGTCATGACTGAGTTCTATGAAAGTGAAGGGTCCAAATAGTATTTTGGTGCCAGTGAGTCTGCTAGACCGAAATGACGTAAAGGCTTGGAATTGGTCGGAGTTGCTGCTGATCCTCAGTGGCGCTGTTGTTTACTGATCTTGTCTTGTTTTCGAAGCGGGGGGTGATTGCATTTCAGCTCGATTTGTTCAGTATTGATAAGGTCAATGGAGATGAATTGGGGCATATTTGTGAGTGGAAAAGATCTTGTAACCATGGGGACGTCACTGATTCCTGAAAAAAAATCTGTCATGACGGCACAGAATCTGTCCTACGCTGTTACAGTCATTGCTCAGATTGGACCTTCCTGTCAAAACACTTGCTGTTCCATTTGATGCACAGAGAAAACTAAGGCTTGTTTTCTAACCTTTCTGGCCAGTACCGTGTACTGTATATGGATCCACAGTGTTCTGGGAAATGCATGATCTTTCCTAATCAATAAAAGTGAGGGTATCTAGTAACTAGAATTCTCTCCTGAGCCTGGCCTCACTGGCCCCTTTTTTTCTTTAAACATTGGGAAATATCCGTATCCTCACTACCAAACACTTGACATACGATTCTATACTACTCCTTCTTGCTTTTTCTAAAGTCGTCATCTCCATTGCGGCCCCTCGTGCCCCCACCCAACCCCCAGCTTATTCTGTAAACCACAACTAGATTCCCTGTTTACCCAGTAGAGACTGGCTTGGATTACTCTTCAAACATAAACACGGTGGTAATCGCTTTGTCTATTTTTCACATGTGCAGCCAAGCAATCAAGCGCACAGACCCATATGGGGTTTTTCTAGGAATCTGGTGATGGTAAATGCACGTCGATCCTGTGGTTTTTTTCTCTCTCCTGTCCCTGGCAGTGGAGGTCATTTCTCATATTTGTCTAGTCTGTGTGCATGCAAAGACCTTGAGTCCCAGTGTTTCTGATTCATTTTGTGTCTGGGTCTGCTTGGCCCTGGCAGAAGGTGGCGAAACCCCAGTTGCTGTTGATTTCTGAGCAGTGGGTCATATCAGTTCAAGCATCTAAAAATAACCTTTGCCCATTAGGCCATGGAGTTATTAATCAAAGGGTACATTTAAAGGCTTCTGTGAGAGGATTTGTAACAAAGAAGCTTTGCTTGGTCAAGATTTCCAAAGTTACGTAGACAGCATGGGAATTTACTTTTTCAGGTCCTTCTTTTGGTTTTCTCTCCTTTGGTCTTCTCAGCCTCTGTGGTTATTTTCTCACTCTTGCCCGCTCTAACTGCTAGTTAAGGTTGTTCTCACCCACCAGATCCTGTGCCTTGAATAAAAACAAGTAGTACAGGATGTCAGTTCCCATGAAGGGTCTGTTGAGTCTTCCTTAAAGCTAACAACTCCTAAATCCTAACATCAGCAACATCCTAACTGGGTTGCATACCCCAAGATTTTTTTTAGCCAAACCTTGTGCATTTCTGGTCAGGACTTTGCCCAAAGTCATCTCAAATGTCATGTTCACTAAACAGCACAGTGCAGACATCTGCCTTTGTATTTCTCCCATAACATGAAAAAAGCACTTGAGGAAATCAATTTTTAATTGTACTGTGTGTGTGTGTGTGTGTGTGTGTGTGTGTGCTTGTGAGAGAGCGAGACCATGGATTCCCTACTGATGTCTGATGTTTGTGGTCTTGTCTACTCCTTTGCTTTAGGATCAGTGAAAGTCACGGTGAATTGGAATAAAGGAGTGGCTCTTCTCCCCACATTGTTGGATGGCTGGTACTCAGTGATAATGTTTCCACATGATTCTATTGTCCTATTTTTGTGACCATGATCAAGCACATCTCCAAAGCTGTCTGTATGAGGCAGCATTACCAGCCGCTCATACCCCATAAATATCAGAGCTCTCCATTGATCCATAGTGTGAGCAGGGAGCCAGAAAGCTGGTGAACTCCCTTGAACTCACTCTATATCATTTCTGTGTCTTTAGGGAAAGCCCTGACATTATACTTTATTACTTTGACGGTTATATTGGCGTTTTTCTCCCTTTCAGAGAATGACTGAGCGTCTGTCTTTGATTTTTCTTTCACCAGTTAATGAAGCAGCAGAAGGAGATGTTAGGAGATGACATCATCTCCTAACATCTCCCTACCCGCCCCCTCCATCCCGCTCACAGACAGACCGACAGCTGCGCAGACTGATAGGCACACACACCTACACACACAAACAGGCGAATAGAGTGACGGAGGCAGGGAGTGTCACAGCTTTCACACCTCCATCATAAAAGTCACAGTGCATCTACGATATCACACTGTAAGCTTGTCGATATTAGTAAGATGTTCCTGCTCTCCGGTAATTGGGAACGTTGGATATGAAAAGGTCACTCTGTGTGTGTATGTGTGTGTGAGACAGACTATGAGAAAGAGATAATAGAAGAGGACTTTTTGGAAACCCCTTACTCTGTTCAGCAGATATTAAAGAAAGTTCAGATCTGACACTTATGCTCTTATAATCCATGTAAGAGGAGCCTTAAGGAGGAATGTCGTCATGCAGAATGAAGTATGCATATGTGGCTGTGTGTGGAGGTGGGCAGGTTTGGAGATGGGGGAGGGGGAGGCATAGATGGACAGGGAGTGCATGTTCCAGGAGATAATTGCATTTCTCTCACCTGTTACCCTTTGCAGGCCTTCAAGAGCGCCACAATGAGCTCATACTGGTGTGCCGGAAAGGGCGATGTCATTGATAACTGGTGTCGCTGTGACCTGAGTGCCTTCAGCAAAGATGGCCTGCCTAACTGCAGCCCGCTCAGGCAGCCCATGTAAGTGTGAGGTGACACCATGACACCTAGGATTTCATGCACAGGAAAAGCTTCATAGCTGCATGCACTGATGCACTCCAGACACACTGTATGTACACACACACACTCACATAAACACACATACAGAGGCATGCACGCACAAGTCGCACATACACACGGACTCCCGAGACACTTGAGAAAGTTGTAGACAAAAGTACAATCCCCAAAGTTCTAATAACTGTCAGTCAGCACTTAGACCCCTCTGAAAGAACACACTTTCATTCAAGTGCCCTAATAATACCTCAGAGGCTGTAGTGAGTCATCCACTTCAACCAAAAAACTTTTAAACACTAAGTTAAATGGGAAATACATTAAAAATCAGGCTGTAATTAAAGCATTTCAAGTAATTTTAATGATGCCAAGTATACATTTGAGTTTGCTGCAGTATTGAATGGATGCTAACATTAATTGCAGCCCCCCCCCCCCCCTTGAATTATGTTGAAAGCTTAATGAGGCTGAAATAATGTATTGCTGTGAGAGAGCCTGCTGGGGTCCAAGACCTAAAGACATTTGCAGCCACTGTAATAATTCCTTACGGACTTGTGTCCACATGTCAACTATAATCTAATTCATACTGTCAAATATTTCTCCATTTCAGACGTGCTGTAATAAATACAGGGAAAAGATACAGTGATACATAAACAAGTACTCCATTCCATTTAATGTTTCCCTTTCGATCAACAGGATCTAACTGACTTGGGTGAGAGGTTGTGGGTCAGTGAGTTTTATGTCAGGGTTCATAACAAAATTTCAGGGAATGTTTTTTTATATATTTAAATAACTGCAACCAATAGACCATGGGGAGACCAGGGGTCTCCAAATATATTTGTCACAGGGTCAGAATGTTTCTGAAAAAACACCTTGGGGCCAAACACTAAGATAAAATAAAATAAAAATCTTTTTACTTTTGTCTAACATTGTTATTTGATGAAACCAGTAGCATGCTGGATTGGGCCCGATGGAGCCCGCAGGTCACCAGTTGATGATCAGTGCATGCTGGATTGGGCCCGATGGAGCCCGCCACCAGTTGATGATCAGTGTCATATGGTTTCTAAAATGAAGAATTAATATTTCTACTCATTTTTAAGTCAGTGAATAGGAATATTTGATCTTGATGAGGCCCATGTGGCTGTAAGTGAAAGGAAGAGATGCTGTGTCAGACATGAGGTAAAGTTATTTGATGCAACATCTGTATAATCCAGACTGTGTAATCTGTCTGCTATTTAAAAAGTGCTAATACAATGCAACCCTTTACCAAAAGTGCTGTGTACTCTGACTTGTGTTGATACTGGAGACTGATATTATGCAGCACAAGTGTTGCACAAGTAGTTTGAGACGCTTTTATGGTTATTTTGTTTGTGGACTGTGGTTTTGTAATTGGAGATGAAGGGTGTGGTTTTACAACCAGAGTTTTGGTCATGCTTTCTGTGGCACGAAAGCTGCAGCGGCCAACTCTCCCACTTTGACCAGCAAAGACCTGAAAAATCCCACACTGCTTATTATTTTTGTGTAATAGGACTAAACAACGTGGTGTGGATTTTTATGCGGGAGGAATGCCCTGCCTCTCTCACGCAAACAGACACAGTACCAGACACAGCTGGAGGGCAGGTGAATGTAAATACTGTTCTTCTATCACTATTGAGGAATAAAGAAAACAGGGGGAAAACTGCTGGAGAACAGGTGACATTGGAATGTTGTTTTGTTTGAAGTTGTTGTTTGCCATCTTGATGTCCAGTAAGATGTTGGCTACAGTGACTGTTTCTGCTCTGACACAGGAATTACCTCACTGGATCACAACTTTTCCACTCTTAATTAAAGGCTTTACCGTTAGACACATGCATGCACAAGGTTTAACGTGACATTTCTCAGCTTTGCAAGTCTTGACAACTTATTATTGATTTGATTTTTTGATTTCTAAATCTCATGTTGTCCATATCACTCAATTAGTTTGCGTCTGGCCCCTTATCTGGAGCCCTCGAGCACAATGGTGGCCGTGGAGTGGATGGACGTGGAGCCTCTGATTGGCTGCAAGATATCGGACTATATTATCCAGCATAAAAGAATGGAAGACTCGACCGAGGCAGACGTCTACACAGGTAAAAACAAAATTTATTTATTTTTTTTACATTTTTAACAACTCATTAACAATGGAGGGCTGTGCAAACAAAGAATATTTGTTTATTTACCCAGTAGCACATGATCATGGCCTGAATGGGCCTATGACAGAGGATAATATGAGATATAAGATAAGAGCTAATTCCTTCAGCCTTGTAAGAACAGTTAACTGTAGGGAAGTTCATATTAGTTTGTAGTGAGAACTTTCCTGCTGCCTTCATATTGCATCATGTTTTGCATACTTGTTAAATGAAACACATTATATTTGATATGAGTTATGGTGATTAAAGAAACATAAATGTGCTCTCTGAGAACTCTGTTTCCAGCTGTGTTTGGAAACGTTTTATAAACTGTCCTGTAAATGTTTTAAAGGCAATGATCTTAGTGAAAGAAGGGTTTCGAGTTGCAACACAAAAGCTATTTTTTTTGTGGTAGGTCTGTCAAACAAGTAAAACTTTAAACTGTACAATGACAGACAGCTTTGGATTAATCACGATACAACAACATTTCTGTATACTGCTGCGAAAGAAAGACAAATAACAGCAGGTTGGTGTTTGTGTTTCACACCTGTTTTTAATTGTTTTTATTCCACGTAATGTGATTATTATTATGGAAAAAAATTGAAATAAATACACAAAAGTATAACTTGGAATTTTATTTTAAAGGGTTGGTGAATTTGAATCATTACTCTGAATCTTTCAGGTGGCTTGTAGAACTTCATATGGTTTCTAAAATGAAGAATTAATATTTCTACTCATTTTTAAGTCAGTGAATAGGAATATTTGATCTTGATGAGGCCCATGTGGCTGTAAGTGAAAGGAAGAGATGCTGTGTCAGACATGAGGTAAAGTTATTTGATGCAACATCTGTATAATCCAGACTGTGTAATCTGTCTGCTATTTAAAAAGTGCTAATACAATGCAACCCTTTACCAAAAGTGCTGTGTACTCTGACTTGTGTTGATACTGGAGACTGATATTATGCAGCACAAGTGTTGCACAAGTAGTTTGAGACGCTTTTATGGTTATTTTGTTTGTGGACTGTGGTTTTGTAATTGGAGATGAAGGGTGTGGTTTTACAACCAGAGTTTTGGTCATGCTTTCTGTGGCACGAAAGCTGCAGCGGCCAACTCTCCCACTTTGACCAGCAAAGACCTGAAAAATCCCACACTGCTTATTATTTTTGTGTAATAGGACTAAACAACGTGGTGTGGATTTTTATGCGGGAGGAATGCCCTGCCTCTCTCACGCAAACAGACACAGTACCAGACACAGCTGGAGGGCAGGTGAATGTAAATACTGTTCTTCTATCACTATTGAGGAATAAAGAAAACAGGGGGAAAACTGCTGGAGAACAGGTGACATTGGAATGTTGTTTTGTTTGAAGTTGTTGTTTGCCATCTTGATGTCCAGTAAGATGTTGGCTACAGTGACTGTTTCTGCTCTGACACAGGAATTACCTCACTGGATCACAACTTTTCCACTCTTAATTAAAGGCTTTACCGTTAGACACATGCATGCACAAGGTTTAACGTGACATTTCTCAGCTTTGCAAGTCTTGACAACTTATTATTGATTTGATTTTTTGATTTCTAAATCTCATGTTGTCCATATCACTCAATTAGTTTGCGTCTGGCCCCTTATCTGGAGCCCTCGAGCACAATGGTGGCCGTGGAGTGGATGGACGTGGAGCCTCTGATTGGCTGCAAGATATCGGACTATATTATCCAGCATAAAAGAATGGAAGACTCGACCGAGGCAGACGTCTACACAGGTAAAAACAAAATTTATTTATTTTTTTTACATTTTTAACAACTCATTAACAATGGAGGGCTGTGCAAACAAAGAATATTTGTTTATTTACCCAGTAGCACATGATCATGGCCTGAATGGGCCTATGACAGAGGATAATATGAGATATAAGATAAGAGCTAATTCCTTCAGCCTTGTAAGAACAGTTAACTGTAGGGAAGTTCATATTAGTTTGTAGTGAGAACTTTCCTGCTGCCTTCATATTGCATCATGTTTTGCATACTTGTTAAATGAAACACATTATATTTGATATGAGTTATGGTGATTAAAGAAACATAAATGTGCTCTCTGAGAACTCTGTTTCCAGCTGTGTTTGGAAACGTTTTATAAACTGTCCTGTAAATGTTTTAAAGGCAATGATCTTAGTGAAAGAAGGGTTTCGAGTTGCAACACAAAAGCTATTTTTTTTGTGGTAGGTCTGTCAAACAAGTAAAACTTTAAACTGTACAATGACAGACAGCTTTGGATTAATCACGATACAACAACATTTCTGTATACTGCTGCGAAAGAAAGACAAATAACAGCAGGTTGGTGTTTGTGTTTCACACCTGTTTTTAATTGTTTTTATTCCACGTAATGTGATTATTATTATGGAAAAAAATTGAAATAAATACACAAAAGTATAACTTGGAATTTTATTTTAAAGGGTTGGTGAATTTGAATCATTACTCTGAATCTTTCAGGTGGCTTGTAGAACTTGAGAGAACTTCAGGAAAGTCAGAACTCCACTGAAGTTGTTGTCCTCAATTAATCAGGCTACAGTTCCTCAACATCGAGTTGACAGTCGTCTGAGTCCGCTTGTCAGTCGTAGACTTTTGTAGCTTGACATCTCAAATGAAGTTGAAGCCCAGCCATCAAGATAGTAATTTAAGCCAGAGGCATGTTGGTTAATTTTAAGACTTCTCCCAGCAGTGTGTGCAAATAACGATGTGTATTAACTGTGTAATAGAGCTATGATAAGAATATTGACAGTAATATAACAGGATATACAGTGCCCAATTAATCTGCTTATTTATTAAAATATGTTTAATCTTTAAATCTTTAAAAATGATAAAACACATTCATTTTACAGCCCCCATTTGTTGTATTAATGGCAAGAGTCAAAATGAAAAGTCCGAAGTTACATAAGATTAAAGTTTCATCTTTGGGAACAGTGGAGTCGGACAAGGAGAAAAGAGAAGGTGTTCAATGGTGTGACTGGTTCTGACCATTGTGCCACTGAGTTAGGTAAGTGGCTTCAGCTCGGCTGCCACAGCACAAAGGTGACAGGAACTTAATAATAGTGGAGAAGTGAGGTGGTCCGTCTGAAGCTGGCTTTCATCACTGCGAAGCATGTACAGACCATTCATCATTCCTGGGAGCAGTGGTGATGAAGCGTGGGCACCAGCAAAAAAGGGTGGATACAGGCCACTAGAATGGGCATGCTGGCAGAGGTGAGGTAGAAGGGGCAGATGGTGTGGGTGAGTCACTCTGCTATGTGCCAGTCACATCTATAAATCCAGACATTTGAGTCATATAGTGTATAGAGAGTACAAGGATCCATTGTCATGATGTGTCTTTTGTTCTGTGCATTTCTTCAAGTTAAGAACGCCTGTCCTGGCTGAAACAGTGAACAGGAGAAAGTTGTTGTTTTTCTCTGATCGGAATCATTCAACATGTCCATGATAATCAGTAGAATCTAAGGCAACAGAAGTTCTGTGTGATTGTCTGTGAAGTTATTCACACTCCACAGTGGACAAAGCATCAGAAATGTTTCTTTAAAGATATGCTGCAGTTATAGGATAAAATTATCTCTATTTTACTAAGGCAAGACCCAAAAATAATATTTGAGGGTTGATCTTACCTAGTACTTACTTGTGCTGTAGGAACGCACTGGTACTGATCCAAGTGATATCAATATTGAGCCCGATACCTGATTTCAATAATTCTGTTAAAATCAATACTTATTCAGATGCCAAAGTTTGGAATCTATAGAATAAGTAGAAGGAAAGTAGTCTACTTTCCTTCTACGTATTCTATAGAACATGACTTGTTTGTCTTAGGTGTGAGCAATGTTAATAAATCTATGAAATGTTTGGCCTTTGAGTCAAGTTAAAAGTTACATTAGCTTTATTAATTACTATGACCACCAGTACTACTTCTTCCTCAGTGAGCACTGAATATATTTACTGCTTAAATTTACATTGGGGATCAGTAGGTGAATGATACCAATGAAACATTATAACCAAGTAGCCTATACTTGGTTATCTGCTCCTGGCTTGGCCTATCTATATAGTAGTCACAGATATTTATACCTAGGAACGACAAATGTTCATTATTGATCGTGCTGTTAATAGAAAAACCACGCAAATAAGAGAAGTTATGTCAAACTAAAAAATAAATATACTAAATTATCAGGAAATAGAAGTCCCTTTAAGTTATGAATTGAAGTTAGTTCCAGGCAAAAAAAAAAAAAAAAGAATTACGCAGTTTCATCTTCTTGCATCCATGAGAATGACTTCATTCGTCACATGGAATCACAGATTCTGGCTCTGCATCTGAATCTATAGCCAAGCTGACGCACTGCTTTAGGCCATTGTTTGAAGGAGGAAAACAAACAGACTGACACACACAAACGCTTAGCCATGCTTACCATGCGTCACACTCTCAGAAAACACACATTTAGCCGTGTGCACACTTGTGCAGAAGGCAGACAGGGAGCACAGAGATGCAGACACTTGGATCCGTCCCCTAGTCCTTAGAGCCATGTTTCTGTGTCACTGCTGTCTAGACTATGGTGGCAGAGGGGACAATCACTCCTGGAGGTTTTGAAGGTCAGTCACATGTTTAAAAAAGAATGGTAATTTTTGGCTCCCGAGACTGTGCTGATTGTAAAAAATGACTTAGTTTCAGATACAGTGTGCATCACTTTGGTTTATATATTTAGATCACATGTCAAACAATTTTAATCTGATTATTCACATTATTTTATGGTAAGGAATTATCACGTCCTGTCTTGATAATTAATCATGATTAGAATTATAAAATCCATAAATGCATGCAGGGTGTTGAGTTTTTTTTTCTTTTTGTTTAGTTCAAGCTGTTTTGAAACCAAACTCTTTTCTGCAGCATATATAAAAAAATCAAGGAAAAATATAAATATACATTTTTATTTTTTTATAACCATTTAT